CAGCCCTGGATGTGCAGGCCCCAAGGGGCAGGAGCCCCAGCCAGGAATCAGCCTCGGACTCTGGAGCTGGCCTGGGAGGTTACCAGTGACATCTAGTGGCCACAGCAGGATGCAGCCCCGTGAGGTTTTCCAGAAGGTGAGTCTGGTCCCTCACCATCTCTGGGCTGGGCTTCTGTGCTGCCCCAGCCAGTGCGTGGCACCTGTCTTGTCTCCCAGGCTGCAGGACGGTGGTGCAGGGCAGGACCGGCTTGTTGGGGGCCAGGACCGAGGCCCGAAGAGGGGCTGGGCCACCCCCATTCAGCAAGGACAGGGCTATGGTGGCTCCAGTGGCCCTGTGCCATCGGCTGCCCTCCAGCTCCAAGCCCCAGGCCCATCCACCTCAGCCTCTGCTCCCCCGGGCCTGGGGGGAAGCTTTGGGGTTCTCATGGGAGCAGCCACAAACCCAGTTGGGTGCAGCTGCTGAGAGCGCCGGTGCCAGCCAGTGGGTGAGTGGCAGGCAGTGGGCCTTGTGTATCTACTTGGCACCTGCTGTGTGCCAGGCCTGATGGGGGGCGACCCAATGGGGGGCATCCCGGGGAGGGGCTGCCTATGTAGCCTGGCTGGGCAGAGACCAGCCCTGAGAGACCCCTCAGAGGGACAGGGACCCCTGGTGCCAGCTACAGCAGGCAGCACAGGCTGAGTGGGGTCTTGAGGAGCCCGCGGTCAGCCTGAGGGTAGCCCTCACCAGAGGCTTTGTCTGGGGACTTGCTGGTGTCACCCTGCCTGCGAGGCAGCTGCCTCCCCTCCAGGGCCTTGCAGAACACACGTTCCGGGTGCTCAGGACGTGCTGGTGAGGGCTGGGGTCAGCATGGGGGGTGCGGCAGGGGAGCTGGACCCACGATGTCGGCTCACAACCCTCTGTCACAGGACCCTGCTTTTTCTGCCACTGTTTTCCCATGAACCATTTCCAGCCGGTCAGAGAGGGGACCAGGGACACTGTTCTCAGCCGGGGGACCTACAGAGATACTGTACTTTTTTTCTTCTTTTTTCAGGAATGATTCTTTTCTACCCCTTCTTCCCCCCACCCCCACCACATCTGGCCCTTCCTGGCACAGGTGTCCCTGCAGACCTTTCTGCCGTCCCTCCCCTCCCCTCCCCTGCCGTTCCCCCTCTGCACCCATTCCCTGTCTATGCATCTCCCAGCCGGTCTCCTCCCTGTTCTCCCTGCACCACCCTGTCCACTGTTCCTGTTGCTCCGTGTGTCTGTCTGTCCTCAGCTGGCTTTGTGGCTTTGTCTCCAACACAGTGTCTCTCCATTTCTCCCCAGCCCTGCCCGGAAGGCCAGCCTGTTGTCTTGCACTTCAGTAACTGGGTACCCTGCCCCGGAGGCGGGTGGGGAGGGGCACGACAGGTCTTTCTGCTGAGCCCTTCACTCAGCCCCAGGCTGCCCGCCCACCCACCATCGCAAGTGCTGCTCGCTGCCTCTTCCCTGGGGCTGGCTGGCTCTGCACAGGGCTGCCGTGCCTGCTTACCTGTGCGATCAGGTCGCCCCGCCCTGGGGGTGTCACCCCTTGGCACACGTGGGGTCTTCCCTGACAGCTGGGAGTGACAGTGCTCACCTCTACAAGTCTGTACAAGTCCACACTGAAGGTCTTTATGAGTCAGACGCTCTGCTAGGTCCTCACACCTAGCAGGGGGGTGAGGTCCTCACTCCCAAGGGGTGTGACCTGCTTCTTTGGGTCCTCACGGCTGCCCTGCCAGGGGGGCTGGGCAGTGACCACAGTCCCATTAGACAGAGGATGCCATCGAGGCTCAAGGAGCTGGCCTGCTCAAGGCAGGCCCAGGCTGGCAGCTGGACACCGGCTTTGCTTCTCCGAGATTCACGCCCTCAGTGTGCCGACGTCCAAGCAGCCCCCAGGGGCACGGCCAAGGGCCGCAGGCAGCTGCTCATTTGGGGCACAGACCTGGCCCAAAGCACCCCCCTTCCCCACCCCCTGACACTGTACGTGTTTCAGTGACACAGTTGCACCTGCACTTGTTGGTGAGAGGGGCCCGAGCCCACCGCCTCCCGGTGTTCTCCCCGCACACAGCTGTTGCTCCCCCTCCAGCCACAGAGGCCCCCATTCCCACTAATCTTCCCCCTAATTATGGCAATCATTGTCTGATTGTATGGCTGATTACACAACCGCATTTTCTCATGCTAATTCCATAATTAAGACAAGCAGTAATAACGCAGGGGAAATTATGAAATTTCCGAGCTGCAAATATGATTTGAGGGCCCGGGAAGGTGCCCCCACTGGCCCCCTTGGGGAGGACAGTGTGAGCACCAGGCACAGAGGAGGGGTTAGTGGTAACCATCTCTCTCAGCTTCCTGGGGCTCCCCTAACTCCGAAGCTTTTGTCCTGGTGGCCCATTAGCACATGGGACTCTCTGTCCCAGAGGGCCTGATTTGGAAGAGCGGGACTCAGCAGCTATGGCCCTCACAGCCTGACACAGAGGACCCTGCCTGCAAGTGGCCACTGGCCTTGGAGACATGGGACCCGAGTTGTGCTTCTAGAAGCCCAGGCCTTCCCCATGGCTGCCAGGGTCTCGGGAAGACAGGGCTGAGGAAGAGAGGCGGGGCCTCAGCTTCCCCCAGGGCCAGAGCCTGGCTCCTGTCCCTTCCTCATTTTCCTGTCGTCTCTTTCAGAAGATTACTCAAACCTCCCTCCTCCAGGAAGCCGTCCTGGATTAGCTCTGCTCTGGGCGTCTCCCATGGCATGTCCCCAGGCATGTCCCTCCTGAGGTCTGTCCCCCACATGTCCCCTCCTCCAGAGGCGGGGAGCTCCCAGGTGGCCGCAGGGACACCTGTTCACCTCTGCTCCTTCTGCCATCACGGCGTCTCAGGGCCTACACGTTGTATGCACATTTGCAGATTCAACCTCATTTCCAATGCACCAAGGGAGTTGGCTATTTAAAGAATACTATAGAAGATCCTTTGGTAAAGACTGGGATCACTTTGATTTATTTTTAATGTAATTTTGGATTTTCATCTCTAGGGGAGGAGGGGGTGGCGGTAAGGGAGAGAGACAGGCGGGTTTAGATCTTTGCACAGCTGCCTTCTCCTGCAAGGCTCAGCATGTCTAAATTTCAGTCTTCATTCAACAGACATGTGTTTTCAGCCTTCTGGGGGCCAGGCCCGGTCTGCTGGAGGCAGGGCTACAAAGATGGAAGAGACGCACTCCCTGGGTGCTTCGGCACAGAATTGTTCAAGGGGACTCGAGGTGGTAGAGAGGGAAGGGGGATTACCTCTGTCCAGGACTGGGGAAAGCAAGGAAAGCTTCCTGGAAGAAGCGGTTTTTAGCCAGTGTTTTGCAGGAAGAGTTGGAAGAGTCCAAATGGGACAAGGAGGCAGAGGAAGTGGCAGGTGGGTGCGGCCAGAGCGGAGGCTGGGGGAAGCAGGGCCAGGCCAGGACATCTTCGGAGGCCAGTGCGAGAAGCCGGTTTTGACTCCCCAAGCAAAGAGGGTTAAAGTAGATGGTATGCATTTGGACACTGGTTGTCGCAGGAATGGGCCCACCGGGGTGGGACTGGGAGGCGGAGGGATTCTGTAGGTGCTGAGCCCCAGGGAGCAGTCTGCGGGTTGCGGGTTTTGGAGATGTTTGGAGGGAGCACAGAGGAGGCCTGAATGGCAGGGGAGAGGGGAGCAGCGGGGTGAGAGGTGCAGCCGACCTGGGCAGCATGCGGTTAGGGGAGAGAAAGGGCAGGGTGTCAGGGAACTCCTGACTTGAGAACTTAGTTTCTCTGGACTAGGATTTGGGTCACCTGCCAACTGTGAGATTGTGTGCAGGAGGGGGAGGGCCAACTGAGTTTGTAGTGTCCCTGGGTGTCTTTTCCCCGACTGTCCCAGGAGGCTGCCAGGGCCAGAAGAGAGGGCTGGAGGTTGGAGCAACTCTGGCAAGGGGTGGAGAGGGGTCAGGGTGGGCACTGGGGACGGGCAAGGACTAGGAAGTCTAAGGGTGTTGGCGACAGCGTCATTCAAGTGCAGTCCAAGTTGCCGGCAAAAGGAGGAAGCAGGAAGGGAAGAGGGATGAGAGGAGAGGGGGGTGCTGGCCAAGAAGATCCCTGGCAAAATCACCCAGCTACTGCGAGACATCCGTGAGATCTTCTCCAGGCTCTCTCCATTCCAAAATGAGATAAAAGTACTGTCCTCACGAACTTACCTGTGTCAGACCACATGAACTCGACCCAGGAGACCGTCGACAAGTGGGACTGAGACCTGCGAATGCACCAGAAGTTGCTGGCACAATGGCATCCCCAGAAGTATCCCTTCCCTCATTCACCTTGGACCACTGGGTGCCTGCTTTGTGTTACAGGAGGCAGCACGTGGGGGCGGGGAAGACCAGCACTGAGTGGTTTGCTGCCCGATGGTTAGGCGGAGCCTCGCCGTTTCTCTAGCAAATGGAGTTGAAGGCGGTGTCTGCCTCTGAGGTCACCCAGAGTGCCTGGTGACACCAAAGGCTTTCGGTGGCTCACAAAGGCAACCTGCTCATCAACGCAGCTGGTGGTTTCCCCCCGCTTCCTGGGCTCGCTTCCACACCCGCTACTGGTGCTTCCTGGGGTCACCTCCCAGCGAAATCCGGGCCCTGGAATCTGTGTCCCAGGGTCAGCTTCTGGAAAAGCCCGTCCAACAGGGCGTGCGAAGGGCGTGATGGAAGGAAGACGCTGGAGTGCTAGGCTGGGGGCTCCCAGACAGACCCCCCCACGCACCCCAGGGCAGGCCCCGGCAGAGCAGACACTAACTCGGCCAAGTTCCCTCCTGCCGCCCTGTCCTTTGGGCCTCCCATACCCGACCCTGCTCTTCTTTCTCTGTGTCCTTTACTTCCTTTCCTGAACCCTCTATTTTCTTCTTTCCCCCTCCCCCCCTCACAGAGGAAGGACGCTCTGTGCCCCAAATGTCCCTCTAATGTCCCTGAAGTTAGAGCTCTCCTGTGCCATTGTGACGTCACTGTGCATTAGCCAATGCCTGCCCCCGGGCTGGGTTCTTGGCCTTGTGGGGCCACCTCCTGCAGGCCCCTCCACCCTCAGGGCAGCCATCGGAGCATGGGTCCCTCCTGATTCTGCTCTCCACCGATGTTCCTCACGGTCAAGCTCCTCCTGGGCCGGAGATGCAGCGTGAAGGTGTCAGGGCAGGAGAGCGTGGCCACGCTGAAGAAGCTGGTGTCCGAGCGGCTGCAGGTGCCGGAGGAGCGGCAGCACCTGCTCTTCCGCGGCCAGCTTCTGGCGGATGACAAGCGTCTCTCCGACTACTGCATCGGGCCCAATGCCTCCATCAACGTCATCATGCGGCCCCCGGAGAAGGCGGCGCCCGCCGAGGCCCTCCGGCCCCAGCCCCTGTGGCACCAGCTGCGCCGGGTCCTGGCCAAGCACTTCAGACCGCAGGACGCCAAGGCGGTGCTGCGGCTGCTGAGGCGGGAGCACGAGGAGCGCCTGCGGAGGATAAGCCTGGGGCACCTGGAGCAGCTGGCCCGGGACCTCCTGACGGAGGAGGAGCTGCTGGAGGAGCCGGCGGGGGAGGAGGAGTCTGCGGCTGTGGCCTCAGTGCCCAGAGAAGAGGGGGAAGGAGTGGGGGAGGGGGGGACTGACCGGTAAACCAGCCGCACGACTCATTTGCACACTCAAACTGGCCCAGCCTCCTCCTTTCGTTCCCTGGTGCCTCCCCACTAGTGCCTACTGGTGGCGCTGTCTCCTTGCCCCTTTTTGAGACTTGGTAGCAGCTGGAGGGCTTTCGGACCCCTCCATCCTCTCTGTGGCTCCCCCTTGGAAGCATGCAGTGATTCTACCCGTCACCACCCCCTAGAAGGGGTTTCAATGACCCCATGGGCAGCCCAAAAGTGTGGTCAAAGGCTGCCTCCCCTCATAGACTGGGCACCGTCTCCTGGGCTAGGCGGTTTGCCAGGCGCATCCAGCACCCGCTTAGCGCCCTGTTAGCAAAGCTTTAAGGCTCTAGACGGACCCTCCCTCTCAGAGAAGGGGGATGGATGTCAGGAAGCTGCCCCTGCTGTCCACCTGCTTGTGCCTTCACAGCTTCAGGGTCAGGGACCACCAGGTAGGAGTGGAAGGAGAGCACCTACTGGGTGCCGGGTCGGGAGGTCACAGGCAGATGCGTACAGACCAGGAGCAGCAGGAAACTGAGACTCGGGCAGAAAGGAGGGTTTGCATCGTCACCCCCACACCAGGCCCAGCGTGAACACAGCCACGTCCCATGTCTGCCCCAAGTCACCTGTCCACCGCTGTCATGGAGGCCCCCTTACCTGCCACACACTGTCCTGGCTCCCACAGGGCAAAACGGTGCTAGTCAGGGTCCCAGGCGTGCAGCCCAGATGGAGGGACAGGACGTCAGTGACAAAGCAACGTGGAAGTCAAGGGTGGCCCATGTGACTACAGGCCCAGGCACCGACCACTGCCTCGCAGGACGCTGGCCTCGGTGGGGAGGGGCCAGGCCTGCCCTTTCCCCCGTTCTTGGGGTGGGAGAACGGAGGAGCCCCCACCCTGTGTACAGGGGGGCAGGGAATTCACTGAGACCCCCGTCCCTGGCAAGGTCCCAAAGTGCTTTCACTGCGGCGACTCCATCCTGGGTGAAGGAGGCAGAGGGAAGGGGACGAAGATAGTTTTGGGAGGGAAGCAAGCAAGGCTCACATTACCATTCTGTGCCGGGCCTTCAGGGCTGGGTTCGAGTCCAGTCCCAGCCCCGCCCTTGCCTTGCTGCCTGGCCTTTGTTCCTCCTGCCTGACGCCTCGGTTTCCGCCTGTTGACTCGGGCTCACTCTCAGAGCGCCCCTTACCCCAGGTGTGGGTGAGGGTTAGATGCGAACACTGTACACCTGCATGGTGTCTTCCGGGGCGAGGCGAGCGACGGGCAGGGAGACCCCGGGAACCCTCTCTTTGGCTCTGCAAGCTGCTTAGTAGCGGTCCTCCCTGCTCCCAGAGTGAGAGGCACCCTCATTCACCCAAGGACCCTCTCCTGTTCCCATCAGCCAAGCGGAGAGGACAGCTGGGGCCTCCGAGGACAAAAGTGACCTTTCCCGGGGCAGGAAGGTCTCCGTCCTGGGTGGCTGCGGCCAGGCCGTGGGAGCCCCAGCCCGGGGTTCCCCAAAGGGTCCTGGTCCCCGCCTGCCACCAGGCCCTGCATCCCGCTCGTTAGAAGAAGCCTCCCGCCTCCGTGCCCCTCGGTGCTGGGGCTGCGCCATTTGCAAGGGGGATGAGCCCATTATCTCCACATTAGGGGAACTAATAGCCCATTTCCCAGGAAAGTTGTGAGCGATAAAAGTAAGTGGGCCGTTTTATTTCCTTTGGGGAGAGCAGCTGGCCTGAAGGATGGGAGGGGCCTTTATTTTTCCCTCTGGTTAGTGGGGGTGTCAGTACTGGCCGAGAGGAGCCCCTCCCCTGCTTCTGTCCCCGAAGCCGCAGCGGCGCAGGGCTGCGGCCCCAGACCGGAAGGAGGGGAGGCTGCCCCACCCTCTGTGCCTTGGCTGCCTCCTGCCCCTGACCCCGCTCTCCCGAGCCCCTTCCGCCTCAGCTCCTGTCCCCACAAAAAGCTGAGACAGGACAGGACGCACTAGCCCCTGGAGTTCAGTGAGAACTTGTCACCTCTCCCAGGGACAGGCCTCCTCAAGGCCGCGTTTCCCACTGTGGGGTGGAAAGGCTCCGTCCTCTCTTGGATGAACTTGGAGGTGGGGGTGTCTACGGAGAGGCTGCAGGCAGAGCTGCCCCTCATGCCCCAGCAGGGGGTTCGAGTCCCACTCTGTGCAGAGGTCCCCAGCTCGTGGGCTGTCTGCCGTGGACAGCCTGCTTCGTGCCCAGGTTCCCCGTGTCCCAAAGGTGGGTTCGAACCTGTGCCAACAAACCCCCTTTCCTGCCGTCACCACCTGAAGGACGGTGGGACGACACTCTTTAACCTGAGGCCCACAGCACCTCTCTCCCACCAGGGAAGGACACCAGGTCCCCACAGTGACAACTCTGCTGAAGCGAGAGGCCTCTCCGGACGGCCACCCACCGGAGTCCAGCGTTGTGCCCCTGCCCACAGGGCAGCCTGGCCTCTCCCGGCTCCGTCCTGCATCTGCTGACGGCCGACCCCTCAACGCCCTGGTTCCCAGAAAAACAGTCTGGTTCCTGCGCTATCTCATCAGTCTTTTATTTTTATTTTACTTTATTTTTTATCCTCACCTGAGGGCTTTTTTAAAAAATTGATTTTAGGGAAAGAGAAAAATGTCGATGCAAGAGAGAAGCACTGATTGGCTGCCTCCCCCAACCCAGGATCGACCAGCAACCTAGGCATGTGCCCTGACTGGGAATCGAACCTGCAACCTGTTGGTCGTGGGACAACGCTATAACCAACTGAGACACACCCGCCAGGCCATCAGTCTTTTAGTCTTTCATTAATATACACGGATGGTGGCCCTAATCTGTGCTAGGAACCGAGGTTGGTGGCCGAGGAGGGAACCTGTCTCCAGAGAAGGCAGGTTAGAGAGAAGTGCGCCCTCTGCTGTCCAGGTTTGACATGCGGTGATGTGCTGTTACTCAGCGATGTCACTTTGGCCCATAGTCCTGAGTGATGGGGCTGGGAATTGTTCATCAGGATAAAAATTCTCACAGATCTTGAAGGAGAGGGTTTAAAAGGTTCCAAGAGCCCCAGGGAGTCATAGGCCCTCCCCACATTCAGAGTGAGGGGACCCCACAAAGGCCTGGACATCGATCGGAGGTCTGTCCGCCACAGCAGGCGGTGACTGTGTCATAGATTTTGCGTGAAAATCACTGGTGAAGTCATGAGTGAAATCACTGGTAATAAGCCAATTGAAGTGTCAGGTTCGGTCCAGGAGCTGTGGGAGCAGAGCTGAGCCTTAGGGCGGCCTCAAGGGGGAGGCGGCATTTGAGCTGGTGCAGGATGGAAAGGGCTCCTGAGGGACTTTTCATGACACTCAGAAGTTCCCACGTCACACCTGGACACCTGTCGCTTGGCTCAGCACACCGGCCTCTGAACTTGCTGGGTGCCTCGTGATCCACAGACGGAGACACGCCTCAGGTAGGTGCGTGGCCACCAACACGCAGGCGCCCCAACCGCTCACGCCCACCGTGTGGGGCCTACCGTGGCGGAGCTGGGTTTGCAGGGAGGTGCTGTGGGCTGTGTCCCACTTCAGTGCCCGGGTTCAGACTGTGCCTTTCAGGGCTCAGGCTGCTGGAGCCCAGCTGACCCACCTGGCCCGGGGAACTTGGCCAGAAGATCCCATGCAGCATGTTCAAGGGCAGGCAGGAAGGCTGCAGAGGCAGGAATCTCGAGAGCTGTCTGGACTTCGAGGGCCAACTGTGCTGTGTGTGAGGCAGTGGCACCTGCCTCTGGTCATTGGGACAGGGGTGTCTACAGGATATGTAGGGACATGCAAAGGGACACGCGGGACACATGTCTGTGTGCTGGGCGGCTGTGGGGCTCGCAAGGATGCCTGCATTCGTGGTCAGCCCACGTCTGCCTCAGGACAGAGACCCCTTTTCTGTGGGGACTTTGCAAGGTGGCACCTACTGGCCTTCCGGGTCCCTGCCCCAGCCTGGGTCATTCTACCTGTGGTCTGAGCAGTCCTGGGTGGCGGCCAGCCTGTGGCAGGGGTGACCTGAGGGCTGGCTGCCCCGGGGCAGGGGCCAGCACCACCAGCTGCCGTGCACGGACACAGCTGAGGCGAGAGCAGCTGCAGAGCCTGGGCCCAGGGCCCTTGGAAACAGATGGTGCTCCCTCCGCCGTCTCGTCCCTCCTTCCCCTTGGGTCACCTTTCTCCTCTTCCCCTCTTTTCTATTTTCTTCCTGCACCTCTTCTCCCTTTCCCTCTCGTTTTCTGTGGCCACACTTGGGTGTTGTCATGTGGACATCTGGGTGCTTCCTTTCAGCTCTTTCTCTGTTCCTATGTCCTCTGCCACCCAGCCCCGCCCCCCTCTCTTCCCTCCCATTCCTTTCACCTGTGGTTGTTCTTGTATTAACACCACCAGCTTTGCTTCTGTCTTCTAGCGTCTTTTTCTCTTATTTTTACCCAGATTCACAAGGTGGGAGGCATGGATAGGAGGGACCCAGATCCCACTACCTCTGGGTACGTCCCCACCCCCACCCCCGCATGTGCACTGCTGATCAGCTGATCCTTAGGTGCCTCTACCCCGTCCAGGGCTCAGGTGCCATGCAAAATGGCCTCACTGCACATATGCACTTTTCTGCTCATATAAACCTTAAAACAGACCACAGCCACAGAAAAGGCCCGGACATCTGTCCACACAGGGCTGCTCACAGACGGACATGCTGCTGGGCAGGTGGGACTGGCCAGGCACAGTCGGTGGTGGCAGCAAGCCACCTCTCACGTCTGTGGCGGCTGGCACTTCGGGTGCTGAGTCCCTGCACTTCCCGGCCCAGCTCTGCCCAGCTGGCACTGGCCACCCTCCTCCTCCTCCTGGCTCCTTCTAAGGAGCTACCAGGCAGCTACTCAGCCCTGGGCTGTAAATCCCCAGGATTGGAAAGGACTGCAACCGGAGAGGCCAGTGGGAAGCCCCCGCCTCCAGGATGCCTCCCTCCGACCTGCCCTGTGCCCCCTCCGACAGCCTTTCCCATCACCGTGATTTAAGG